GGAGTCAGGTACACTGAATCGGATGCCAGTGCACCTTGTGATCTGTGTTGTGCTACCAGTGGCGCAGGCGAGGTGGGTGTCTGATAAAGGGTCCCTGCCTCGCCACCCCGTCCTCTAAGTGAGGGTGAACGGGGTCGTCCCGCCACACCCACATCGCCCCAGTCTGGACAAGGCCTGGTTCCAGAACTAGAATGCGATCGTGGCCTTCCTCCATCAGAGTGACGTAGCTCTCCAGACCTGGCAGGGGTAGGAGCAGCCCCAGGGCTCTGGTACACCCCTTCAGCTAAGCTGGGTGGTGAGAGATACACCCCATCTGAATCTTCAGTGCTCAGACCATTTACCCTGCCCTGGTGGCTAGTCGATAGATGGACTGAGTCCACACTAGGAGCTCGCCGGGTATCTATACCAGTGTTTGAAGCTGGAGTCTGAGCAGTTTGGAGGAGGCGTAATCGATTGGCAGGGGCAATGCCTTGACGGCCATGTAGGGAGCAAAGCCACCACCCTGGTCCACCATCCTGCTCCTGGTCCAGAATCATCAGGATATCACCTTTGCGGAACGCTAACTCCTCTGGGCTTTCAGCGGCATTGTCAAAAAGTGCCTTTGCAAGCACTGTCTATAAGACAATAAAAAAAAAACATAAGGAGGAGGAGAAGAAACCAAACAAAGCTTTAAATAAATCCTACCAAGACATGACTCACCTCTGGACTAGCTTCTTAGTCTAGGTTTCTAATAAACCTAGCATTGAAATGCATGAATGTAAATGTAAATAAAACAAAGGCAGCAAAACATAATAAAATCCTGCATAAATAAAAAAGGGAGACAGACAGAAGAAAGGCTTTAACCAAGTCCTTCAATGGGAACGGGGAAGGACAGCAATAGTGAAGGAGAAACCCTAATTTCACTAGACTGCTAGCAACAATATAATTCAATTGTTTAAATTCAATGTACTCAGTTAAAATGAATTTATTTGAGCCTTCAGCTGACTCTACTTCCACAGCGTTTGAGCTGTGTTGTGTTAGTAAGGGAAGTCAAAAACAGGAAACAACGTAGAGCAGTAGACCCACTGTCCTGCAGAGTTTAGCTACAACCCTAATCAAACAACCAGGAGCAGCTAATCAAGCTCCTCAAGATTGCATGAAAATACTACTCAGGCAGGTGTGCTGAAGCAGGTTGGAAATAAACTTTGCAGGACAGTGAGTGCCCAGAAGGAGGGTTGAAGACCTCTGATGTAGAGGATCTAACTGGCCACTTCAACCAGGTTCATCAACCTGTGTAACCAAATCAATTTGTCTTCTCTTTTACTTAACAAACAGAACTAGCACATCATCATGACAACATAAGGGAAGATTAAGGCCATGGTCAACACTAAAAAAACCTGACGAGTCTCATAGTTGACTTAAACATTTAAAGAACACACAAATATGGCTTAGATTAAGTAGCTTAAAAAAAAAGACGGTCAGTACATAGCAATTTAATTGCTGACCTAAATTCTTAGCATACATAAAGCCTACAGAAGAAGAACTGCTCATTTAAATGCGTCTGAAAAGGGCAGCGCATACGAACTGTAAAGTTAGATTGAAATTACGAAAGTAATGGGTTGCCTCAAGGTCTTTTGTATTCAGAACACCACACTACTGCCTTCATGGGTAAATCAATATTGATAGAGAGAATGCATAAGTAAGGGCAGAGGTCTGTGATTATGGGAGAGAGAGAATTAGTGATTAAGGGAAAGAGGCGCTGAGTTGATGATAATGAGGAAGACTCGTGGGGGAGGGGCTCAACATCTGTCCCCCAGTTTTAGGTCCTTTTGTCATCCCCTTTTATACCTCTAAATTTCCCGCTCGTTCTTTCATTCCCCCCAGGGGATGTGGTGCTCTGAGGCAAGCTGAGCCCCAGTTCCCCCTTCTCCATACTAGCAGTGGATATGAATATTAAGGACTGGACAGCAGAGAGTGTTTTACAGTGGTGACTTAAACACACTTACCGATAGAGACATGACTGAAGCTGGTTCTCCACAGTTTTGGATGCGTTAACTCCACATGTGCTCTCCACAGAAGCTGTATCCCATTCACATGTGCACTGTGTGACTCATCTGCATGTTTTGTAGATCTGGTTTTCCATTAACCTGAACCATGCAGTGGTGGTAAATACGATGGTCTTTATATCCAGAAAGATCAATTTCTCAAAACCATGATTGTTGTCCTTTGCAGTTTGTGACTTTCATCACATCTGACAATTGCCGCACATATTGAACCTGGAGGATCAAAATAAATGCATTTTAGATCAATCTCAATAGTACAGTAGTGTGTGTTAGTAATACAGAGTTCACTTTATGAAACAGTCAGCTGCAGCAGCCAAACTAGTCAGACCAGCTGGGGCTCCACCAGTGGAGTTCAGACAAAAAAAGATCTTATTTCATGGGAATTTGGCTGTTAACTTTTAAGTACAGCTGTAATGTGGTATTTCAATTTGCCCACCCTGATTGGACAGAGGATTAAGGGGCTATATGATATCATAACTTAGTAATTATGAGTTAATATAGGTGGAGACATTGTTTCCTATTTGGTCATTAATGTTTGTTTGTATTTTTATTTAATTTTTGGTTCATAACGTTTGTTTGTTTTTTCAGTTTAAAGGAATGAAACCTAAATAAAATCACTTCAGCAGCTGTGGCACAACCGCCTACTAAAGGCTAAGACACTGGCGTTTTGAGACAGGAATCCATAGGATAAATATATATTTTTTTAATTAAAAAGATGACAAATTATAGTCCTGTGTACCTAGCGTGTTTCAAGTAATTTTAATAGATTAAATTGCACTAGGCTACAACAGAAAAAAAATAAATAAATCACAGTCCTAAGCCACGTTTCGTTTTCAATCCAAGACGTCTCAAGGTTTCTTTTATGCAGGAGAACCCCAATGAGACAAACAGAGGACTAAATAAACGGAGAAATAAAATAAAGAAAACAAGAAAAGCCCCCATTCTCCGGCTAAACCAGTGCCAAAGGCATTAGGCATATAAATAACGTTCTTTCAAAAAACGGGATGCATTTTAATTCAGACACAAAGACGCAAACAAGCGGCGATCAGCCAGTGTAAAATGTTAACTAAATAAGCAATGCTCGTCTTACCGTTCACATGTCTAGAAATATCATCTGGAAATACAGAAGTAGAGTCAAACCTCGCAAATCATATCTTCTCAAAAGACTGTAATGCACGGCTGTTGTTTTTCTTTCTTTGGGGATTCACGTCTCGCTCCGCCAGGCTTCGCCCTACCCTGGCCTTCTTGGTTTTGAATTACAGTTGAGCGCATATGGTCGCTCCCCCTACATTGAGCCCGACACAGCACGATTCCTACAGTGCTTCCCGCCCTCTAGTGGAGGACTATCTATCTATCTATCTATCTATCTATCTATCTATCTCTCTATCTATCTATCTATCTATCTGGTCTTGTTATTTTTGTCCACTTATGGCAGTTGTCATAATGTAAATTTAATTTGTTTTTACCAACGTTGCCAAGTGCTGCTTCTGAAGGTTACAGCTGCCTCTAATGTAAACTTCTGACCAGATTTACATTAAACAAGTATAAATCTTTTACTAACTAGAATGTCCTAGGAATGTCCTCTTGTAAACTCCTTAGAATGCTTTGACACACCAGAATAAAGTAAAAAAATTCAAATGCAGTGTAAAATTAAGCAAGCGTTGTGCATAAGCTGGTATTCCATTACCTGCATATAAAATAAAAACAGAAAATGTATTATAAAATGAATATGAAATTGTATAGGCCTACTAACCATGATTAAGAAAAGCCTTTGTGAAGAGTAGATTGCAATAGCTTTTTTAAAATAACATTTCTAAAAGATGCATTATATTATGCGAATTTACTTTCACTGGCTGTTCGGTATGCATGCTCTGATTCAATATGCTGGGCAACTGTTCAAAAACATTAGCTAGGAAACAAAGAGGACATCAGAGGAATTTAAATAAGAACTTAAGTTTTTTTGTCTAAAGACAAAAATGCCCATAAAAACCAAAGCCAATTAGTGGCATTTAGATGATCTAAACTGAACATGTTCAGCATAATAAATGTCATATTATCTGAGATAGGCTCCCGTGGGCTGTAACCAAGTTTCTTTAGGCTGCTTAGTTAGATTTACAATTTATACTGAAAACAAGTGTAAAATACCTTGAACAACAGGAATTAGCAACAGGAACTGCATGTTGAACAAACACAAAGCTTTGCTATAGAACAAAAGGACAGGGTATGCCAAGGTATTTGGTAGTGCTGTTTAAATATTTGTTGACCTCACAAAGTGCAACTGATCAAGAAAGACTGCACTTTTCTGTTCAGCTCCAACCGTATCTTAGTTTTACTAAAAGCACCACTGCAGTGATAAAATTAAGAACTGTACAGGACAGGTGCAAAACCAGCAGTGCATACAATTTTAACTTGATTTATCATATAAATCTAACGCAATCTACAATTTACATTTTGTGAGACATTTTAAGTTTACTTGAATTGAAATAAAATACTTTACTAATATATTAGGTGGATTTTTAAGAATGAATGATTAATTAATTTTAACCAATTAGATTCCCTGAGACTAGCATCTTCCTCCAGAGGGCGCGTGAGGGCTCAGATAGATTTTTTTTATTTTTTTTTATTCAAGGAACAATAACACACAATATGTTATAGGCTCAGATAGATCAGAGAGCTGATTCCTCCACTGACCGCATTACATTTTTTTGTTAAATTTGTACACTAAAATGTGAAACATTTAATCAGTTAATCCCATCTCTTAATACCTGACATGCAAATGAAAATATGGCCTATAAATCTATAAAAACTATAAATATCCAGTCAACCATCCAAATCAATAACACTGATCTGTGATTGGTCCGTCCGGACCAGCGCTGTAAAAAGTTTCAGGCCCCACGCAAGAATCGAATCTACACGCAGCTTCTTCAGCGGTCTGTGCGTGCAATAGTTTACACCTGATTAATGACACCAGAGAAACATTAGTAGCCATCGAATTGCATTTACACCGAAGAATGAAATAGGATAATCACTATCCAGAAACATCTTTCCAGACCAATAAGAGACAACTTCCGGACCGTTTATCACCGCCCTATCTCAGACATATACACGCCATCTACCAGTTTATAATATTTCTGTGGTATTGACGTACGAGAGGCGTTGATTCTTAAGTGCTAACAGAACAACAGTCCTTCTCAGCTCGTAGGTAATGCTGTATTTCTTTTTATTAACCTATACGTCACAATTATTATTCACAATTTAGCAAGATTTAAAACAACTTGATTCGCTCTTGGCTCACCTCAACCATGAATGCGGTGTTGTGCAGTTAGCTCCGTTTAAGTAATGTTATCGTTAAGCAGCATAACTTGCTGGTTTCTGAAGTACCCCACATAAACACATTCTCACCTCAACTGCCTGTCGAGGAATGTAATTAATGTTAACGGGAAAGCTGTTCTGTGCACCTGTAACTTTTTCCCAGGATGACCTTTAACCCACTTTCCTACGTAGTGCTGTAGCAATTATTATGCAGACTCTTTTTCTGTCTGTCTCAAGGCAATGTTGAAGGCTGTAACCAGGTGCCTTTGGTCAAATCCTGTTGCTGGCAGAAGAATGATGTCCCATCACATATCACCGAATTTGTCGGGAAGAGTTGCTATAGTAACTGCTTCCACAGATGGGTATGATGCTTTATTTCCATTCTTATCCAACTGTTCTTTAGTTTCAGATCCTTAAAACAAAAGGGTGTGTAGCTGTCACAGCACAAAAAGACATTGTCCCTCTGGTAATAACTGATAATACAACTACTAAAACATATGTAAATATAAATGATGCATCCTAAATACTTACATAACATGCTGACAGACCCTTGTACTCACCGATCTTCTCAGGATTGGGCTCGCAGCTGCGGAGGCTTTGGGTCAGAGGGGAGCACATGTGGTCGTGAGCAGTCGACGTCAGGCCAACGTTGACAAGGCTGTGTCACTCCTGCGCAGCAGAAATATAAAAGTAATAGGCACCACATGTAATGTGGGGAAAGCAGAAGATAGAGACAAGCTCATTAGTATGGTGAGGAGTTGCTTTATCGCTCTTTTTAGCCAATACTTAGTTAATACTTTGGGAATCATACTTAGGAATATGTGCAAATGTTATGATGAACCCAAGAGTCTGTGGAAACTTGCAAATGTATAATATATATTGTGAAGAAATTTGATTTAAATGCTGTTACTTTTTATTGCAGACAATTGAACAATGTGGCGGTGTGGACATACTGGTGTCTAATGCAGCTGTGAACCCGTTTTTTGGGAACATATTAGAATCCACCGAGGAAGTCTGGGACAAAGTTAGTTATTATTAGCCTTGATACACATTTTTTCTATATATGTATATATATAAAATGTTAGTAGTGTCAGTAGTATTGACATTTGCTTTATGTCCACAGATACTTGGAGTAAATGTGAAAGCTTCTTTCCTTCTGACCAAACAGGTTGTGCCTCACATGGAGAAAAGAGGGTGAGAGAAAAGTGAAAAATATGAGTGGGAATAGAAAACAGAAGTATTTCAAAATAAACTTTATATCTGAGCCTAAATTAGGACCTTTTCATTTTCAGGGGTGGGTCGGTTGTGATTGTGTCTTCAGTCGCAGGGTACCAGCCAGTGCAAGTATGATGTTTACTTGCTGTAAAGTTTAATAATGCAACATGCCTTATCCAATAGCACTAAAGTGGTTTCTTTAATTGGGTTTGTAAACTTTATCTGCTGTTTATCATTCAGCACTAGTTGAGAGTTCACCTTGCTCTTGACTCTTTGACTCTTAGGGTCTGGGCCCCTATAGCGTGAGTAAGACGGCCCTGCTGGGCTTAACTCGAGTGTAAACTTTATCTGCTGTTTATCATTCAGCACTAGTTGAGAGTTCACCTTGCTCTTCTTGACTCTTTGACTCTTAGGGTCTGGGCCCCTATAGCGTGAGTAAGACGGCCCTGCTGGGCTTAACTCGAGCGCTGGCTCCTGATCTCACCCACAGTAACATCCGGATCAACTGTGTTGCCCCTGGCATCATCAAGATGCGTTTTAGTGCCGCTGTAAGGATTTCCTACACCTTTCATTTTCAGAGCTTCTTGGAAACTCGTCTTTTGCCTAATTATAATTTCTAACGTCAATTAGTCTTTACAACATTCACCTGTATAACCCTTTGCTTCTGTTCTTCTCTAGCTGTGGGAAAATGAGTGTGCTTGAAGAGTTCTTGAAACAGACAAGCATAAAAAGGTTTGTTGCTGTCAAGACAATGAATGAAACTGTTTTTAAACTAATAGTACCGTGGCGCTTGAATAATCATAGCTAGAATGGCATGTCTGAGAATAGCATTATCAAGAGTAGGAAACTGAATTGTTCCACTAGCATTATGCACCACAAAAAATATTACATATTTAATATATTATGCATCACTGTAGTTTTTTTATGTAGCTAAAGTGTATGATTGCATGATTAATAATGTTTTTAAAAAATCCCATTACCTGTAAGGTAGCATTGCAGTAATTGTCCACAAGCTATTTCTTCCTTTTCATAAGTTTTCTTTTTTTTTTGTTGCTTTCTGGTGCAGGAAACCTGATTCTTATTGTAATGTCTTGATCTCTTAAGACTCGGGCAGCCAGAAGATATAGGTGGTGTGATTGCCTTCCTGTGCTCATACGAAGCCTCATACATCACCGGAGAGACTATCACTGTAACCGGAGGCATGAACTGCAGACTGTAAGAGTGGCACAGGGGCAGTAACAGTAATCATGTACTTGTACATCAGATAGAAACCTTCTAATTCAGTGACCCAACACATTTGTAACAGCTGATGCAGAAATTCATAATACATTTACAAACGTTTAATTGTAATAAAATGATTTATTTTATTTTTTTTTGCTGATTTTGTCACATTCATTTTTGTTTTTTGATGTATAGTTTCCCACATCTTTTAACCAGTGAACTGACTTTTCCAGTCGTTTGGGATTACTGGTATTATTACTTTTTGATTTTAAAGATAAAAAAAGTTTACACTAATTTTAGCTTGGCTTAAAAAGGAATTATAAATAGAAACTTTAATTTTCCTGATATTTTCAAATTTTCTCTGATGGAGGGCACCTTTTTCAGAATTATTAAATAAACATCTAGCAGTAAACAATTCTTTATTTAAATTATATATATATATATATATATATAACAACAACACCATTCTACATGATACAGATAGAGAGAATAAAAATAAAATAAATGATTATTAATTATTAATCCACACTTCCTAAAAGCAGGTAGGTTTCCTTGGTTACAGTTGTACTACATGGTAAGAAGCTTCTGATTTTTTAATCAAATCTAAGACTTATGATTAATACAAGAATTATCTATAATAGAAAACACTGCAGCATCAAAGTCATTAAGCAAGAATGATGTTCCAATACAACTGCATCAATGTCTGCTTCCAGGAGACAATGTGGAACAAAACACAGGATTCCAGAACTCCCGCAGTGTGGGCACATATGTATCATTCTTTGTTTTGCAATACTGCTGACTGAATACCTGACAGGATATTTAAAGAAAAAAGCACAGAAGTAGTCAGATCGAAACAACCACAGTACAGGGACAGATTAAACCTAACCCTAGAACCAAGTGTTTGGAAAAGATCATTCTTATAAGGCCTTTTTGTAAATGATAACTTTCATGTTGTTCAGGAGTCAATTAATGCAATAACCTAGTGCATATAAGTAGCAATATTTTTATTTTATGCAATATAGACAATGCAGATTTGTTTTTAACATAATATAGGGCCACATACACACTGCAAAATTTTCAGGCAAAAAAAAAAAAGCATTTTAACATGCGAGTGAATGGCTTAAATTTTGTGGTGTGTGTAAACAAAATGTTTGTGGACTTGCTGTAGCTGTGATATTAGTTTGGTTATTAAGTTATATTAGTGACTGGAGACATTTATAACACAAACATCTATCAGTAATCTACCACAGGGCTGGTGGAAACAACCGAGGTGTAGAGACAGATTTGTAAAAAAAAAAAAGACACGTACCTCCTTCTCTGTGATTTGCTAACACCACTCCTGGAAAACAGACACACATTGCAGACTCGCTTTCAATGAGAGCGAAGTCACTGCATTGACAACTACTACTTGCTCAGTTTGGTCCTGAACAACACTACATGGACTTAACCATAATTACCAAAGTACTCTGTGAGTACAGAACACAAGCAAGCACTCAGAAGAGCGACAGCTGTATTTAGCTAGTGTGTATGTGGCCACAGGAACCTGCTGTAAATACTGTGCAACTCTCTTGAGAAGCTCTACAGACTGAATTAGACAACTGAATCTCCACTCTAGTTGCTGATTCTACATGTCATAACACTTATTTGGTTGTTTGAATCATGCAGATGCAGTTACAAACCTTTCTCTTGACATCGTCTGTTCTCTCATCATCAGAATCGCCAACAATGTCATCTGATGACTTAACTGAGGGAGATGGTGTTTCTAAAATAGATGAAAAACCAAAACCTACACCTCTGGCATATAGAAGGCAAAAAAAAGAAAAACAGAAAGGAAAACTAGTTACCTGGACTACCGACTGGAAGATGCAGAACTAGGGGAATACACGGAGAGCAAGTAGAAGTTCTTAAGGAACAAGAAATTCGGATAAGAATGATCAGCTTAACCAAAAACGTAATTAATAATTAATTATAATAATGATTTCAAATAAATTATACAATTAAAATAAAGTCATGTTCTTACGGTTTATTGACTGATAAAGTCTGGTGTTTCTCTGGCGTTGAACTCAAATCAATACATTTCCTCTTGCGCATCACAGAGTCACTGTTTCCCATACTGTCTTTTGAAGGAGGCTGGCATGAAGACTTTGTATTTTTCTTTTCATCAGACAGATGAATTGGACAGACAGGAAGATCGTTGTCGTTTAATCTGTGAATGACTACTCTCAGTTGGCGCTTCATGCAGGAAACGAGGAGAGCACTCATTTCTGCTTCTTGATGTGACTCGAAGGCCTCAGAGTTTCTCCTAGTGGAATATTTCCTTGTAACACCTTCCCCTCTTTTTCCATTTCTAACTTCAGTCTTTTTGGGTAGTTTGCTCTCTCACTACTCCCCTTCCTACCGTTTATTTCTTCTTTGCTGCCCTCCTCCTCCTCTTCTTCTACTTCACTGCCAGATGATTGACTGATCACTGTGACCAACATATTCCCGACAAAATACTCCTCTTCTGGATCCTTCTCCAAAATTTGCTTTTTAGAACATGATCTTTGTTTGCTTCTGGTATTTCTGGACATTTCAGAAGCCGTTTCAACTTCTTGTCCTAAATTGTTTTTTTGGAGAATGTCATTGGAAGTGGACCCAATCACTGGTGCGACCTGTGACTGGGCTTCCTTCACTGCTCTGCGAGTGGTCCTGGGTGTTGACGGGGCAGGATTTGTGACCCTGTTGGATAAGGAAGTGGATTCTGATTGGATGGTCTGCAACACTCTACCCGAAATAGGGAGGGAAAGAGAAGACAGGATCACGTCACTAGTAGATGACAGAAGAGATGCTGAAACAGAGAGAAGGAAAGAAAAAGGATGACAAGACAGATGCTAAGGGGCATAAAAGGAAATAATTACTTGAATTAAGCAATTACTTGATCATTTCATCTCCCAGACATACCCGAGCAGAGGTGTCCGAGGCATCTTTCATGCTGCAGCAGAGTCCTGAGGAGCTGGGGCTGCGATGCAGAGCGCGCACACTCCTCCAGAACAGCAGGGGCACCACTGAGCCATGAGACTGTCTGAATAAGACATCACAATACAAAATGGTGAGCATTGAGCATAAACAAAACAGTCTCCTCCAGAGGGCACCACTGAGCCATGAGACTGTCTGAATAAGACATCACAATACAAAATGGTGAGCATTGAGCATAAACAAAACAGTGGTCCTATCCCAAACGGCAGCATTAGCACTCGCAATCAGCATTTGTGTGCAAATGTGTGTAAAGGACCATACTTGGAACTCACACTTGAAATTTTTTTTTTTATTGAACATTAATTACATGATACATAAAGCATTACAAAATGTATCAAAAGTTCACATTGTTTAACATTGTTTTCATATTTAGGCAGTGTGCAAGAAAGTGTTTCCTCTCTAAATATTTTAGACAATTTTACCAACAATAAAATAAAAAAAAATGTAACAAATAACATAAAAAGTAAACAATATTTGCATGTGATTTCCCCCCCTTTATTATTATACCATGACAGCAGTTATTTTCATGGCATGAACAGAGTAGCTTAAATTACAAAAACAAACAACAACAACAAAAAACTCTAACAGCAATGGAAGAAAAAAATTATCTGATATTCTTAAAAGCAAAAAAAGGATTTTTGTTCTGAACCTTATTATGAATTATACCTGGGCAAGATCTGGAATTGGTAAGAGTTTATCCAGTCGAATTAGAAACTCCCACAATAACTTCTCTAGATTGGCCACATAGTTTTCTCCATAGTGAAGATGGAATTCCTCCTGGAGTCAAAGGCAAAACCATATCAGTGTACATGAATAAAAGTTTGCATTAATTGAAGATTTTTAGGCATTTACCAAACTTTACCAACCAGTGAAAGATAATTTAGAAGTGCCTTCTGTCATTGACAGACAAATGATACTGTATCTAAGAAGAAAATGTATATAAATGAAAATAAAGTTTTAAAGTACTCTCATGAAAATATATCAGGTGGGAGATGTGAGTGAGGATTTGTGGAGCAGTTCTCTTTAGTTTTTTTGTTTTACCTTGAAAAACTGTTTTCTGGATGCTGCATTCTTCAAGAGAGAGTGCACCAGGGTCTGGAAGTTGTGTTTAGCTTCTTCCACCTTTTGATCGTTCCTCTGAGGATAAAAGAAGGTTCAATCCTTGTTGCTGCATGTAACTCTTGTGAAATTATATGCAAGAACACTATTTTAACTTCTAAAGAAGCTAGATGAGAATAAAACTAGCAAAACATGAGACAAACAAGACTCTGCACCAGTGTCAGGGCCAAACTCACCTTTCCGATGGGAATTGAGGATTCTTGCAGCTTGTGCAGCTCCTGGAGGACATGCTGAGCATCAGGAGGATCTGACTGACGAAGCACTTCCAAGATCATCTTAGGTTAGCAGGATAAAAAGCAAAGAAATGTCTTTACTATTTACAGACTAAGTCTAAAAACCTTAGAAAACAACAAAGTTTCGATATATGACAACTTCACTGAATCACATGTAGCTTAAACAGTAATGGACAATGTACAGTGAATGTGTACATAACTGAGAATGACAAAGATGGCAGCATAAAAAGAGTACATGCTATTGGTGTTTTTTCATATGTGACACAGTCATTTTCAGTCATCTCACCAGTGCCCGCAAACCAATTGTCAGCCTGGCCTTATGTCTGTAATGGAGCAGCCCCGGTACAGTCTCACAGAATGATGTTATGGTCTCCTCCAGTTTCCCATAATGCACTGCGTCTCTCTGCAGCATCACCTTCCACATGGCTGCGGACATCAGGCGTAAAGGTGGAGCTATGAGCCGCAGTGCTGACAGAGGTAGAGGTATGTCTGTTGAAAATAAGATCTGAAACAATTAGAACAAGCAATCTGTACTGAAACTCATTATTATTATTCATTATCATCAAGTTATCATATATATATATATATATACATACATACATACATACATACATATATATACACATAGGGAGAGAAGCTAGAATTGACATTAAAATAAGGACATTTTTTATATGGTTTTATATTTCAGCATGTAAGTGATGAAAATGTCAAGTCAACTACCCATACGGACATTAATTCTAGACATTTACAGCTCTGATGTGCACATCTATATTTAGATGTGTGCTTCACAGTTAACATGTCAGCTGGACTACATCTGCATCGAAAATCCCTCGCATCTATCGACAACAAATGCACCACAGTGAAACGCATAACATACGATAATTCTTCTTTTACTATTAGATTTTTACGAGCTTCACTGCACAGACCCACCTTCATTCATAGTGTCTGTCGCTGTTTTCATTGTCCTCTCCGTTCAGAAAATAAACACCTCTGGTGTTTTGGAAATCGCTTAACGTTACTTGATTCGTAAACTTAAAAACAAAACCTATTATACAGCTCGAACTAGGAGTCATCAACTACATTAAATTAAACAACACGGTGTGAAGCTTTCTGTCCTTTGATCTATATTTACAGCCAATACGCCACGTTTATAAAAACAACTGATGATTCATAAGAATGTAATGATGGTCGCGGTAGGGATACACTTCTCGCGCCAAAATGACGAAATGCTGTTTCCGGTGTGAAGTATACAAAGACAAGAGCTTTAAAAAAAAAAAACTTACGCTGCGTCCCAAATGACGCACTATACACTATGCACTTATACACTATACACTGTACTTATGCAATATGTACTCAACCATGTAGTGTATGAATTATATAAGGTTATTTTGTCATTTTTTAAGGTCATAATCACATCTAAGGAAAAAATGGATAGTTGAGCGCATGAATTGTTCAACATTCCACACTTCGGGTGCTTCTCAATTCTTATTTGTGCATCCTCGTTTCCTTTCCTCGCTTCTTAGCTCCACCCCTTCAGGATGCGAGGGAAGGACGCAAGGAAAAGACGGGAGGACGGAGAAGTTGAATCAAGTGAAATGAAATATCCTCGCTCCCTTTAGCGTCACTTCAAAGCATCATCAGCTGCGCGAAAGGGATCTGCCCTTATGTTGTTAAAGTTTGTTATTTGAGACATTCATAATAAGTATTAATAAAGCAAGATGCCCTGTTTGAAATATATGACATGTATGGTTTATTTAAACTGTAAATATAAATTACAATTATTACAACAGATGTGAAGGGGGAGGAGAATCTATACATGCGTCAGGTTTTTCCGATGAAAAACACTTCCGCAAAGGATGCACCTGTGTATCCGAGAAGGGCCTCTGGGTGTATCCTCGCTCATAGCTCCTCAGGAAGCCTCCCAGATGCCCTACAAGATGGCTGAGATCGATCGGTTTCCGGGTCATAGGATGGAGGACGGAGGAGCAAGGAAACGAGGAGGGAAATTGAGAAGCACCTTTCGTTTTTTTCGGTTATTTAAGTGCATCATCCGGGTATTTAAAGTGCACTTTTTTTTGCAGTGTGAACACACTACTCACACTATTTATACTACAAAACGTCATAGAATAGTGCATAAGTACGCGATTTGGGACGCAACTTTAGTGGGCACAAATGTTTTGTAGGCAGCTGTCTTTTATTTGAATGTTGTTCCTGATCTTGACAATCTGCCCTACTTTATTTGTTTTTAAATTAAAGTAATACCCTTGTTTCTTTGCTTTTTATTTTGACGTTTAGTCGAAAAATTGGTTTTGGCTTTCAAAATAAAAGTCTTCCAATTTCCAGTACTGTAGAATCCCGAGGAAAATTAACTTTAAGTGTTACAACGCTAACCAGTCTCCCTTCCTACATCATTCAAACTTTGGCTCCTAAACACACAAGTTCAATCAGCGAACAGACCTTGCCCAATGACAGGCTATCAGGATAAATCATCCAGCAAAGTCAAAGTCCACTTGGCTAGCATCACACAACACGTTATTGTCAAAAAGATTTTCTCCACCATCTGTTACTCAGTTTCACTAGTTTACTTCAAACGGTCAAACAGGCAGAAAGGACTGTAAACAACTAAAACAGAGGTGACAGACAGAAGACCTCAACCACAGAACATTATGGAAACAACAGCCTCCCTGTTCAAGTGAGTTTAGTAACATTATTTTGTTACATGTTCAATACTGTTATTTACAATATACCTGTTTATCTTCAGAAGTATGCTTTGAGTAAGACAGTCAGATTTACATATACATTTGATCAAAGTTGTTAGTAAATAGATACAAAAATACAAATGGTCATATTTAGTTTAATTAGTTTTTATCAGTGTTTGTCCTTAGCATTAACATTGGACTTTAACTGTTGGTCTCTCTCAAGACATTTGTTTCACTCCATTAACAGCTCTTTTGATAAGACAGTCTGATTACCGCCATGTGCTGTCTGTGCTCGTCCCACTTTTAAAGCAGTCATTGATTATTCTAGGAAAATGGGGATTTACACATCCTCATGTTGTTCCAAACCTCCATGGATTTCTTTCTACCGTGGAACACACACACACACACACACACACACAAAAAAAGGATTTTGAAGAATCATCTAGGTCGCTCTTATCCATGCAGTTCTAAAAAAAAAAACGGCTACTGTTGTTTTCAAACTTCAGAAGAGACACAAAAACACCAAATAAGTATTTTAAAAGACATGATATAGCTTTGTGTTATAAATAGATGGAAATGTCATTATTCAAGTGATTTTTTAGTGATAATGTTTCCTTTTAGTGAGCTGTGATCAGATCAGTGAGTTAGTCAGACTCGAGAATCAGATCAGTCCGATTTGTCACTTTATGAACTGGATGCTTCAGTGATCAAAAATCAAGAAAAATTTGTTTACAAATTTAGGCATAATTATTTTCCCCTTGAAAATGGCAAGAACAGCTAAGGGGTGCATCAAGATTTACAAGGATGTCAGTAAATAAATATCAAATTTTGATTTGTTCTATACAAAGCTTTCACATGGCTTCAGAAGACTTGACATATAGTACATACAGTAAGCCATATGAACCAAGACCAATAAAATAATTCTTCAAAATCCTTCCAAGGAAGAAAGAAAGTCATACAACATGAGGGTGAGTAAATCATCAAGCATTTGAGCATTATCGTGCTAACTCCCTGTTGAAAAAAACAGCATATGCTGGTTAGGTATGTTTTGATGCTGGGATGCTGGTTTAAGCTGGTCCTTTGCTGGTTTAAGATGGTCTTTGCTGGTTTATGCTGGTCCTTTGCCAGCACATGACCAGCATAAACCAGCAAAGACCATCTTAAACCAGCAAAGGACCAGCATAAACCAGCAAAGGACCAGCATAAACCAGCAAAGGACCAGCTAAACCAGCATCCCAGCGTCAAAGCATACCTAACCAGCATATGCTGGTTTTTTCAACAGCTAGCTGTTCCTTTAAGTGGAGTTCTTTTCTACAATGACTCTTGACAAAACAACCATTTTTTGTACTCTATGTTGTCTTTGACGTTTTGCCTCCCCCTCATTCTCCATCGCTCTTTCTCTCAGGTCAGTGTCTCGGCGAGTATGGTCGCCCCCTCAGCGTCCATTCAGAGTGTGTTCCTGGAACAGAGAGGTCAAAAAAGGAGTCACTGCTGGAATTCTAGAGGAGCTCAAAGAGAAGGTAGGAAGTTAAACATCGTTCAACTGGAAGTTTTGCCACTTACCTAAATGGGCTTTTTGATGTAGACACATTGGTTAATCTCACCTTTAGGGGTTTGCTGTGGTTTTGTCTGTGTGTAGCGCCCCCTGCCCTGTGTTACATTTGTTACACAGAAACTCAACCAGTTTTCTAGACGTCCGACCATGACCAGGATAACAGAACTTTTACAGACATTTATCATAAACATTTTGTACTGTGATTCTTACCTCAGGCAGCCCAGGCTCTCTTGATATCTACTGTGCTGACTTTGGTGTGTGAAGAGGATGGGACAGAGGTTGACTCAGAAGAGTTCCTCTTAGCCCTGCCAGACAACACCGTTTTCATGGCCTTGACACCTGGAGAGATCTGGAAACCTCACCCTGTATGTATGATTGTTTTATTCAGGCAGAATGTTTTTTCATCTTATTGGTTGTTTTTAGCTGTTTCACCACTTATCTGATTGACTTCTTCAACGTTAGAAAGGTGGTAATATGCGTCACATTTATTTTTATCACACATCTTATGAGGCAAAAAATCCCAGTGAAATATTGTTTTGTAAAAACTAAACAAATGACTTTAGTTTCAGTCACTTATGAATGTTGTCGTTTGTATCATTCAGGACCTTATCTTAACATCTTCTAACCCTCCTAGTTACGTCAAAGGGCTGGAAACAAACCAGGTGATAGTAAACCAAGGACAGGAAAAGACATTGCTCAGATCACCTTTGATCTTTACCGTACGCACCCTAAAGACGTATTCGGCTCACTAAATGTGAAAGCCACATTCAAAGGGCTCTACTCTGTCAGTGCAGATTTTCAATGCATGGGGCCAAAGAAAGTTCTGAGGTAAACAGACTACAGATGGAAACTCTAAGCATTTTAATGGTTTGTTTTACTATTTGTACAAAATACTGAATTGTATCCTACACTTCTGTTGTCTCTCAGGGAGGCCCTCAGAGTCATGTCCACTCTCCTCCAAGCTGCTGGACACTTACTGATCTCATCTGCTGCTGTGATTCGCCGTATCATCCAAGGGGCAGATCTTCTTCAAGCCCAGCATGACAAATCTATCGAGTATTGGGAATAACCGGAGAAATGTATAATGGACTTGAATCTGAGATCAAGAATGTAACTGAGGGATGTTTTTTCTAAAATGTTTCCTAGATAGGTTTATATGATAACACTAAGGTTCATTTTAACATTAAAGCATTAGGTATAATGAATGAACAACAATTTGACAACATTTATTAATCTAGGTAAATGTTAATTTATACGCCACACTTCAAATGTTTGGGTTCATTGTAATGTATTCCTCTGATGGTAAGCTGAATTTTTAGCAGCCATGACTCCGGTCTCCAACATGACATCTCAGAAATCATTCTAATATGCTGATTTGGTGCTCAAGAAATATTTCTTATAATGATCAATGTTGAAAATATTCATATTAAATATTTTTTTTGTGGGAATCATGAATGAAGGTTCAGAAGAACAGCATTTATTTGTTAGTTGATACCTATTTAATGCATTAAATTGTTAATGGTTTTTATTGTAAATTGTACTTTGCTGGTTTAATGGAAAATTGCTCCAGGAAAATGCTTGTTTCTATGAAAACTGCTCTTTAGGAGTTATTTTTTATGCTTAGTCTAGGACTACCCAGTGTTACTTCTGTGTGTTTGACCTTCTTTATAAATGTTTATTTCACCTTTACCATTTAATATTTTTACGTGATCGACTGTATAATTTCATCTTCCTCATTTTGTAAGTCACTTTGGATAAAAGCATAAGCTAAATTATTAAATGTAAATATTATGTAAATACAAAATTGTCATACTAGTAAATGTTTAGAAAAAGAAAAATTAAATATAAAAATGTTTCAAGATCAATTTATTAAGTAAAACCAAACTGGTACAAAAAGCTTCTGCACAAAAAAGGACAGTCTCTCTAGTCAGCTTACTCGATGCAAAAACTAATAAACTCCATATTGAGACTATTCAAGATTTGAATTAGCCTTCAAATAATAATATTAATAATAAAAATCACAAATATTGAGATTGATTGGGGGGAGGAAATCAAGCACATACATTTTGTAGTATCATGTCAGCACAAATGTTATGAAACATATCTGTGTAGCACACTGTGGATCTAAAAGATTGCAGTTATGTTTATAACCTTAAATCCAATTGACCTTTGTAAAAGCAAACATCTACATATCTAAGCTCGAAGTGCAACATAAACATGAAAATGGCAACACACGTGCATTCGCTCTGTTGAGTCACACTGAGAACCACAATGAATAGACCTCTGATAAAACAAGCTACAAAACAAAATACATTGTACAGTCATTCAGTGCCTTGCCATATACAATTTTGTTTCAGTTACTTTAAGGTAGATATTCTAATGCTAAATATTTTTGATTCAAGTAATATGCTTAGTTTTGGAGATACATATTGCATAACAATGTTGTGAGAGGTTCTACAAGGCCCTGGATCATAGCATTAAACTGGGATGGAAATATCCAGACAGGTTAAAGGAGAAAAAAAGGTTTTGTGTAACATCTTTGGCAGTGATGTGGAATTCAGTTTCCACCTATCTGCACAGCTACAAATGCCATCGCAAACTGACTTTGCTTCTGAGGTCAGAGTTCACCCTCAGGCAAAACTGGGGTACTTCCCCTAAAAAGTTCATTCCATGTTGCGGCTTTGCCCCCTCCGCCTCGGTTAATTAATGTAGAATCACCCAAACTCAACCCAGAGCCTATGTTCTCAAATGAGACTTTCCCCCTTGAATAATTTGTACCCCTTTTCTGCTGTTGCATTATGACTGCGATGATGCGTTCCCTCTCCTCTGAGGTCATCCAGCGCATCTGATTGTGTTTGACATGATAACGCGTGTCTCCGTACCACTGGATGATCTCTGTCCGCGTCAAACCCGTCTTCTGCTGGAGTATCAGGTAGTCGTCGCTTGTGGGCCACTGGCAGCGAAGGAAGCTTTGCCGCAAAATTTCCAACTGTTCCCTCGTCTTCTTACGAAGTCGCACGCTCCGTTCCACCCGGCCACGGAGGAATGACGGAGACGGAGAAGGAGAGGGAGAGACGTCTGCAGAGTATTGTTGAACAGAAGCGCTGCCGTCATTAAACTCACCTTCATCACTTACTTCCTCCTTGGTCTCATTGGATTGGTTGACTGGTCCCTCATCGTCAGCCAAATCTACATCAACCTCAATCCCTGCCTCTGTGTCGTCAGCCTCGCCGTTGTCGTAAAAATCAGCACTAGGTAGAACATCGTTCTCCAGCTCAGTGTGAGAGTTCTGTTGCACCAGCTGCAAAGGCCGATTTCGCCTCGCAAGCTTGGTTAGCCATGCCCTGCCATTCTTGCGAAGCTGGTAGCGGCTGTCTGCGAACCATTTGCGAATTTCACGCCGATTAAGTCCAGTCATTTTCTGGAGCTGCTGAACTTCGCCGTCAGAGGGCCAAGACTTCTGTACAAAACTGCGGCGCAGGGCCATCAGCTGTGCTTTCGATTTTTTCCCTGATAAGCCATGTAGAGACTGTGAAAGCTCAGGAAGCTCGGGGTACGACATTGCGGCGTGTTGGTCGTACGATGGACGTCCATAGGAATCGAGCAGATGGACTCCAGTATTGTGAGGCGTTAGGTTTCTACTGTCACTTTGGAACTGGGGACTAACTTGAGGAACTTGGGATGCAGGTCCAAGACCGTTTTTGTACACAACATTAGCGTTGAGCAACTGCTGTACACCGTTATTGGATTGGGAAGCATTATTCTGGCTAAAATGCAAGCGGTTTTGGTCACTGGTGATGTGCTGAGGAACAGCCTGGCTGGGTTTAGGCATCTGGTCTATCTGATCTAGATGGGCATTTGCCACAGGTGGCGGTATAAAAACCTGTTGAGATTCATCACGTCCTAAACAATCCTCCTTGTCGTTTATTTCCACACACTCCTCGGCTACCGCTCCTTTCTGAATGCGCCCCAGCTTGCGTCGCGTCTCTTGGATGTCATCGTCAGCCCAGCTGATTCCGTAACGTACCCGCTGCATCATGAACCACGCTTTAACACGGTCCAACGGTAACGCACACTTTCGAGCTAGAGCACTTGCCTCCTGCGACGTGGGGTATGGGAATGCACTAAATGCTTCTACGAGATCTGACACGGCATCCAGCTCGTGGACCTGCTCCGAGCGCACCCAGATAAGCTTTAACCCCTCGGATACCAATGGAAGACAAACCTGGTTAGTCTGGTTGTGGGTCGATGTGCCAGAGGAGACCGCTTGCCTCTTTTGGCAGGACTCCTTAGTCCCTGAAGAGCAGGGTGACTTCTCCTGAAGTAACTCGGGGGATGAGCTCTGCGATTCTTCAGGAGCAGGTGAGTCATCCATCTTCTCTTCCTGTTCTTTGGGATCCATGGAGGATGAGGTCTCATTTGAGTCCTCGGGAGTCTGAAGGGAAGATGATCCCTCAGTGGTGTCTGGCTGAAAGGAGTGAGATCAAGAAATATAAATACAAATGCACAGTCAACATGGCACAAAAAGTTCATTGGTTATTTCCTTTCACTGCTGTAAAAGTCACCAATAAATGAAAAATCGACTATTATTTTGAATGGAATATGTCAGCGTTTATGATAAATGATTTAGCCACACATCTTTTTTTTTTTTAAATGCATCTCCCTCTCTCTCACCACAACGTCTCTTCTCTGATGACCAGCAACCTGTCACTCATATGACATCACAGCAATTAACGATCCAATCACTTCCTGAAGGACAAAACAACCCTCTACATTGCGAGTAAATCACTCGCATATGCGACTAAATCTTACTCTGGGCGACTAAATGATGTCTAATATTAGCCAATGGCTAATAAATTCTCAGATTTTACTCGCCAGTGTGTGAGTTGGAGGTTAAGGGTAGCACAGATATATTTTCACTCACAGAACACTCTGACTGAGCGCTTCAAGAGTTTCACTCTCCGTCAAGCGATCTGTGCTGTATGGATGTGCAACGCGAACCTACAATTTCCTAAATTTCAAGGTCACTGCTTAGTCCTATTCGAAGTTATCCTAACAGGAATAGAATGGCAGTTTTTTAAGCATATTTCATAAATGAATTGTATTCGGAAGCACAGTATAAAAAACTTAAATGAGATATTTGGAAAAATAACACTTACAGATACCTCCTTGTTATTGGTGTTAATCTGGCACCTGGTGCTAATTTCCTTAATTCCCTTAATAAAATTGGACTGAAAGTATGCTCTGCAGCGACCAAGCCTCTCATCAGCAGAAAAATCAAAAGGCTAGGCTCACCTTTGTTGAGGAGCATGTCATGTGGAGAGAAGAGAACTGGTCCAAAGTTCACTTTAGTGATGAGAGAAAGTTTAATTTATTTGGGTCAGATGGGAAACATTTTGTTTGGCATCAAACTGGGAAAAGACTGAACCCCGAGGGCGTAAAGTCGTCAGTGAAAGGTGGAGGAGGAAGTGTCAGGTCAAGGTTTGGGGTAAGTTTTCTGCAGCAGGAGTTGGGCCACTTTACAGCTACATGGCAGGGTGAATGCAAATGTTTATCAGAACCTCCTTCAGCAACATGCGGTACCTTCCCTGCAAGCATCTTCCAATCAGCCTGCAATTTTTCATGCAAGACAATGCCCCAGCCACACTGCAAAACAAGTAAAGCAGTTCCTTGAAGCTAAGAACAAAGTTATGGGTAAGAAACCCACTACAGTGACCGAACTATGGAAGAGAGTGGAAAAAAAGTGGACCAAGATCACATCAGCAATGTGAGAAACTACTAGTGATGTCCTGCGGCCGCAGATGTGCTGAAGTCACTCAAAGCAGGGGCCTCTACATTTCCTACTAATTTCTGCCAGTTGTAACCCTCCAATTTTAGTTGTAATCTTCTTTTGTGCTACAGTGGTTATGTTCTCTAATTTTGATCACTGTGTTTTCCACAAAATAAAGGTTTTTGTTGAAATTCTATGATTATTTTGTCAAACATGTTAGTGGAACAGTGGTATAACCACAGCTAATATTCCTTTAAATTTTGAGTGGTGAAGATTAACAATATTTCAGAAAAAAGATTGTTCTCTAATTTTGATCTCCACTGTATGCATATATAAACGACTAATTCTGTACACGGTTTTGTCAGTTATAAATTTAAAAGCTCAAATCATGCCAACCTTTTGCCAGAAACAATAATCAATTAACTGTACAATAGGTTACCTGAATATCCCATGAAAATTAGCACTTTAATATGTAAACTTAAAACCCAGAGGAGAGATAGGGCTATTGCATTTTCCATGCATAAATCATTTATAACAAACACTGTAACGTGCATTTGTGATTGTTTTCAAACAGGTTTCCCTGAACACTCGCCACTCTCCCATTGGTCAGTCAAATAGATAGCCCCTCCCCAAATG